TGTATGTATATGTATATGTATATATTTTGTTGGTAATCACTGTTCTGTGTCTAATCAAACACAACCTGCCACACCTTTTATGCAAAGTAGACTAACAAGATTCAAGAATATTTGGTTGCAGCATTTTCATAGCATGTTTATTTTTGTTTGATTTTCCTATACAAAAACACCCTTTTTACGATCCTGTAATATCTCAATTTGGAGATAAAAATCAGGGCAGCTGGATGGATCTGAGCATTTATTGACCTTATATGCCCTTTCTGATGCCAAGTGGAGTTTGCAGCTGATATTTTTTTCTTTGCATCCTAGGACAAAATCATCTGCTGCTATCTAGGATTGAACTCTCAAACTTCCAAGTGGGAACCCAGCACACCACTTTATTTGACTTTTCTATATAGAAAGATATAAAGATGTTAATTTTTAATACAGACCTGAAAATCCCAAGTATGTGTGGGAAGTCTTATTCTGGAAATATCTCAGCTATAGATGATTCAGATTTGTCTTGAAAGTAGAGATTGTTGGTCCTCCCTCTGCCACTATTGATACTTTCTCCTTCATAATATATGTCCTCCCAAATGCCAGATGGATTAGGCTAATATGATCTCCAACAGATTAGTCTAATTTCCAGTCATGGGGTGATTTTTGCTTTGAGGTTTCATATTTCAAACTAAGGCAAAGTAGTCATCTAATGGATCCTGCATCAAGAATAGGTTTGGATAAGATGTCCTCTAAGATTTTTTCCAAATCAATGATTCTATTATTTTCCTTTTAGTCACAGTAGTTTTTAAGGAGATTACAGTGGTAGTTTGGAGGTAGATATAATAGAGAATTATAACTACATTCAAAAATCACACTTGAAATCTATTGGAAATTTCAAATTTTAAAGACTATTTTAACCTTTTAATGTCTGACTGGACAGAAGGTACATTGTTTGTAACTCCTTTCCAACATTTTGATGCAGTAGTGATATTGTAAAAAAATTCATAACAGACATAGGAAAGTTGAAGAAAATGAAACAAAAAACAAAACAAAAAATAGAGCAATTTCCACATGAGGTAAAAATTAATATTTAGCATTTTGAATGATGAATGGAAATTGAATAATGGATGAAAACTGAACAAGGAGAGATTTAACCTGGAAATAAGAAGAAACATTCTAACAGTGAAAGTTTCTAACAATCAACCAATGGAACAGCCTGCCCTCGGAAGTTGTGGGAGTGCTATCACTTGAGACTTCCAAGAAGAGATTGGACTGCCATTTGTCAAAAATGGTGTTGGGTCTCCCGTTTGGATGGGGGGTTGGACTAGATGACCTACAAGGTCCCTTCCAACTCTGATTATCTGTTTGATCTGTTTGAACTTTTTAATTTACAAAGTGAATGAAGAAAGGGAAAGACATAAATATATAAATTATGTATGGTATAAATATGTAGATAGGAAAAAGGCTCTGTCCCTTAATATTAGAAGTTTGGATAATCCACTGAAACCAAATGTGGGAATAGTGAGAAATCATAATAAAGGTACAGTGAAATATAAAATATATCAGGGAGTATGATTACAATCTGTGTAAATTCTCTAAAATTTAAATGTATTATTTCAATTGTTCATGTCATCCGGCTTTACACTGATCAAGAGGAGGAAGAGGAGGAAGAAGAGAAGGAGGAGGAAACTGCTTCATTTATGTTGCTATAACAGGTGATGTTAGGATTTAGGAAGAACAATTGGGAAAAATAAACCATCCAAAAAATGAGACTTACAAATTGAATTTGAATACCCATGGGAAAAAATCATGTTTATACTAATTGTGTATGGATCTTCAGGTGAATCCAACGCATAATTAAAATATGCAAAATAAGGTTTAAATTTCTCTTTTCAAATTATTTTATGTTCAATTTGAGAATTTATACAACAGAAATTATACTAATTGTCTTATTGCTGGTTTGGCTCCAGAAAACGGTCATAAAGAAAGAACCAGCTTTCATATTGTTACTGGTATATTAATAAAATTTATAAACCTGATGGTAATTTGCTGATTCTATTTGATCTTTTCTGAAACAGTCGGTTTTAATATTAAGACACAGGAATATGTGGACAGAAGAATGGGAGCATTAAGCAGTGAATTCAAACACATTTTACTTCTATAATTACATAATTATTGCCATTATAGCTTGTACATTTAATGATGACACTGGGCGTTTTTTTCAGCTCATATTGCCAGTTTAATGGTTTGGTGAATCCAAGAATATATTTCTAATGCTAATAATTTAATCTCATCTGAGACCCGTCGCATGTTTCCATACATGTTTTGAGCAACTTTTTTCTTCCAAAATTCTAGAAAATAAAATCAGACTATTGAACTGCTATGCTAGGATTTCCTGTTTATTAATTTGAATAATTCCCTTATAAATATATGCTTCAAAAGTCTACCTGATATTTAGTATTAACATAATGTTGTCATTCTAATATATAATTATTAATATCCAAATAAAAGAACAGCTGAAAAATTGAATGGAATGATAGGATGACATCAGCAACACAAAAAGCTATTCGAAGTGTTTTCTGAATAACAGAGCTTTATTTGGCTTTTCACTCTTGTTATCTTTTCTTTGATTATATTTAACTTTTAGTTATTTGCACTTTTTCTCATTTTGCCTTGCTTCAGCCATCTGTTTTCTCCCAGCTCTCTCTCTATTCTTAACATTATTCCCTTAACTGTATGTAGGCCATTTTTTTTTTAGCTTTCCCTAAAACAATGGAGCAATGAATTCAGAGACAGTTTTAGATAATTTAAATAATATTTTACTGAAAATCAAATATTCATTCATAGTCAAAGAATTATCAGTGGCAAAATGTATGGTTAAATGGAAGTGTAACAAAATATTACTATTATTTAAAAATGAATTGGTCATTTATACTTGCAGTATAAGTAAAGATAATTTATTTTAAAAATGAGACAGTATTTTTAATTATGCCTAATTATGCCTATTTCTATCATTTTAGTGCCTGGTTTACATTTCTTTTCAGAAGGTTTTGGTTAACCCATGCTATAAGATTTTGGATGTCTCTAAATAACAGTCCTGAAGAAGAAGCTCAAATACTTTAGCTCACAAAGAGTTGAATATGACTTAGTGACTGCAACAGATATTATCGCTTATTTTTTCCAGAGAATTTTAATTCATTTTATAGGAAAACAATTTCCCACAAAAACAGAAAAAATGGAAATTGTAAGAAAAACAAACTCTCCCTTCATCCCAGCAAGCATATTAAAAATTAACATAACTGTCTCTTAAAATACAACCATAATACATCTTCATCCATACTTCACCATATTTTCTATACATTCATTTCAAAATCTTCATTTCTTCTTATTAATCAGCAAAGATCCAGTAAAAATTAGAAAAAAATTAATAGCATATATAGCTCCTTTTTCCATTTATTTTTCATTCATACCTTTTAAAAAAAATAATCAAAATCTAATCCCAATTAAGCATTACAAAAGATTTAAAAAGTATTAAACCTTACCAGAAATAGTAACCCCTTATTTACACATCAAAAGTAATAATATATGGTAGATATTGCAATCTAATCCACTACATCCTTGTTTTGTGGTTTCTACATTTTTAAAAAATGATTCTATGATGTATAACAACAGACTAATTAAGCTCCATCTCATTGCTTTTGGTAGAAATTCCTTCTTCCCTCTTCCCCAATTCTAATGGTATAGATATCTGGACTGGACCTTATTTATCCTAGTAAAATTTTAGCAGCCTGGACCAAATGTTTACTCCTTCATTTATTTCTCAGATCTAACACAATTTTTTTTTTCTGCAACAAAATAAAATGCACAGAAGACCAAGATACATCCACAATGAATTTTGCTCATATGTTCAAAGGTTCCCCTATACTTTTGTTTTAAAACAGGCACCCATATTGGCTCATTAGAATTAGGGCATTACCCTTTACTAGAGATTCATTTTTTATTGTTCATTATAGATTAATTTTATTATCTGAATTTTCCTATTAATTGTTTCAGTGTTTGACAGTGGCTAAACCATGAATGATATCAAAATCTCAAATTCTTTCCAATCTAAGGATGTTTGAACATCTTCTCAGCCTTCCCCTTGCAGGGCTTATTTTTGAATTTCAGCAAGTCATTGACAGATTTAAAAGAGTATTATTTGCATTAACATATTCTATAATTTCTTTTAACACTTAAATAAGTAAACTAATATTATTCAGCTATACATAGAGGCATAGCTGTTAACTAAAACAAATACTGAACTCCATAATTTATCCAAATGGTATATGCACCTTCTCTTAAACTATCAGAATCAAGAGATAAATCATATTATGCCATGGCAAATGTACGGGGTTTTACACTGATTCACATAGAATAATATCCAGTTACCTATATCTAATGCACCAAACAACATGACTCCAGTCATGCTCTGCTTGCCTCTGCTGGTCAAAGTATCCTCTATAATAAGAGCATTTTAATTAGAATTAGAATTCTTTATTGGCCATGTGTGATTGGACACACAAGGAATTTGTCTTGGTGCAAATACTCTTAATTTGTGGCAGTGTTCATTAATCATTGTTTTCCTAACTTTAGATTCATATCATGATATATTTTGGAATACACCTTTATTTATCTATCCAGTATTCCCTATTGGATGTTTTCAGGGGTAAACTTCAATGTTCCATTAAAAATCCTTCTTCACATCCTTGCTTACAGCAAAAGCACTAAATTAAATAGAAGTTGTAGCTGTATTAGAATCTACCATATTTCAGCTCTACTGGAAACAGCTTTTATCTTCTATGTAAACTATGCTTCCTAGCTTAAGTCTGACTTTCTCTGTTATGCTAATATTATCCCAAAGTGATAATATTTGGGCATAACTATTATTATAAAAGCAGATCAGAAACCTTCCCTTCAACAACAAAGGGAAATGTCAGGAAGCTTTCTAGTACACTGCCTGCAGCTGGAAAAAGAAACCCCATTTCAGTTTCGTAAAAGCACTGGAGAATGTTTTTCATTATTATTAAAAACTCAGGCAAGATACTTGTAAAATACAAGTGAGTTTCTGCAAATATTCTTTGCACCCATGAATTCACTTAATGTGCTGTCGGTCTCTCATATACTTACACACAGATATATACACCATATAATTTTCTGACGTTGAATGCGAATGAATTCTTGACACACTGGATAATTGAAAATTCCAGTGTTCAAGTTTGTCAGGTGCTAGGGCAGTAGGATTATCATTGTCAATATCCTGTCTACCCAATCATTATGCTAAAGAATACCTGTCCTTTCCTCTGCTTTTAACTCAAGAAACAGAAGGGGAAAAAGCATGGTCTTCTTTCTATCTGACACCTTAGTGACAATTTGGTTTTTATTTCTTATATAATTTGCTTTCTAAATTTTTCAGAAAAAAAAATTAAAAAATGTCCTCAGACAGAAGGAGAGAGGAGAAGAACAGGAGTTTCTGCTAAACAGGTCGTATTTCTGACTGTCTGACTGTCTATCTAATCTACCTATCTACCTACTTATTATTCTCACTCTCTTTTAATTCAGAAGAAGCTGAGCATTCTTCCAAGTCATCAAAATTAGCCCAAAACTGCCAAAGGAAGAAAAGAAAGCTATTTTTTGTTTCTTGCTTCCTACATCAAAAATTCATAATCCTAACCCTTTCTTACCAGGAAAGCAACTTTCTTTGGTAAGCTGCACCCTGAAACATATTTAACACTCCCTTCCAAATACACATTTGTGCACGCGTATTAATGTTGCATTTGGTATAACTATTTGTTGTATCAAGAAGCTTTAAAATTACATTTGTATTTTTTTATTTTATTTATGCATAGCTGGACTTCAAATACACTCCATTAAGGTGAATTGCTTTTTGTAATCTCCTGATTTTACACCTTTATTTGAACTATCTGCCTTTCTTTAATTGTACTGAATTCATATGCTTTTCTACAATTTTTTTTTAAATTTTACAGCAGGGTGTCAAACTTGATTTTATTGAGGGCTGGATCAGGCTTGTGTTTGACCCCAGAGGGTTTGGGATGGAGCATGCCCAGGGGGGTGGTCATGGTGGACATTGTCGTGATAGGCATGACATGGGACTCTGGTTGAGGGGCACTTGTAGTGGCTAAGTGCTAAAGCAGGACTTGTCCAAGACCCTCCCTCACTCTCATTATACAGTTATGAATGTAATAGAGCCTGCCAATTACATTTGTAACTGAGGATTCATTTGATTGAATCACGTTAAATGAACTTGATAACTTTTTGCTTTCCCCAATGCATTTGTTAATCAAATGTGCAGGTCATTAAATGCACAGAGTTGGGAAGAGTATCCAAGGCTCCCTCAATCTACTGAGATACCTTAGGATCACCTGGGGTTCCCACAATTGCTTCCCCCCTGTCCTGTCCCCCAGGTTCCCAAATATTGGGCCTGCTTTGTTAGCATCCAGGATTCCACTTACTCCTCCCCACCCTATTTCCCATGGATTACTTACTTTTTGAAGATCTCCAGAGCTTTAGAAGAGCCTGACCCAAAGTGTTTTATTCAGATTATGGCAGCTTGCTTTGTCTCATTGGGCTGAACTGCAAGCCCCTTGTTGATTGACTGCCACGTCCCAATCCCTGAAGCTGCTCATTCAAATAGCCAGTAGCAGCAAGCAGGAGGTTGCTTGTCGCTGGCCAGACTGGGGCCAAACTAAGCCTGCAGGCCCTCGTGGCAGAGAAGCCATCTTTTATTCAGATGGGGAAAGCTGTTTTCCTTACATCTCATGTTCTTCCAGTTTCACAGACTTCTGAATAAAAGACTTTGAATCTTGAAAGCTTACCAGGGTTACCTTTGCCAAACAGAAACAGAACTCTTTTGAGTTTCTTTCTCAAACGTTCACACCCCACTTTTGCAAGAGTTTGTTTCTTTACTTTTAATGGCCCTTTCATGAAGGTTATCTTCATATTAGTCTATAATTAATGCTTCCAGCTTCTGGAGTAGAATAGCAATCTAAGGAATGATGTCAGAAACTAACCATGCTTTATCTAAGCATTAAAGCACTATACTCTCTGTAGCAGCATTGTACATCAACCTTCCCTCATATAGTTGGATCCCATGCTGTACATTTCTCATCTTAAATGTGTATATTGTCACATTCAATAGATAATTCTATAAGAGACCACAGTCCAAAGAAAAGATGCATTAATAAAACCTTATAAAAAGGACAAAAAGAAAAGGAGTTCATCGACAACCGAGGCAGTTTCAACTACAGAGGAGAAAAAAGATAAAAGTATATATCAAGGCTAATTGCACTCCAAATTGCTAAGTTAATATAACTCATTTAGTCAAATACCTGTCCTCAGTTTTTTATGTGTGTATGACTTAATATGTATTAAACATGTTGCACTGCTGAGAAAAAAAGCCTTTTAGGAAGTTTATTAAAGGAATATTTTCACTATCAAGACTTTCAAAATTCTTTAGAAACATTTTTGCTGCCTGTACTAGCTCATTGATATTGCAAATCATTACATAATCCTATAGAGATACTTATAATATAGTGCACATTACCATCATTGGACTTTTGTTGTTTACTTCAATCTATAAGTCTATGTTGGCCCAATGTCAAAGCTGGTGATTTTTATTCTCTCCTGGTAGCGTTAACATAGCCTTCAAAATGGGTTTTCCTCATAAATTATGATTAGCTTACTAAATAATGCATTTGGAAATTCTTGCCTTTTCTCCAGTTTCCATACACTTCATCTTCCCCTTATGCAGCAACACTATAATAATCACATTTAGAAGCAAATATTATTTGCACACAGCCTGGGGCTTTTTGGGGGGTGGGGTGGGGGCCACTCAGTCTTTAGTTCTGGTTTTAACTACCAGAAAAAGAAGCCCACTTATGAAATCTCTTTCAGTCACTTCCTCTGCCATCACCATGGTGATGTCTGGGTTCTGTCTAGACCATACTTTCCACAGCTTCCTACTAGTTCACTACTGGTTCATGGCCTGTGCAAATGATGGACAAGTGCACAAAGCTCCATTTCCACATACACAGGATTGTGTTGCAAAACTGTCCCCTTCTCCCACTGCCAGTCTCTGGATTTGGAAAGGTTGGGGACTACTAGTGGATTCCTCTGCATCTTTACCCTTTCATCATGTAGGAAAACAAACACCAAACATAATTTCCACAGAAGACCATTTTATGTATTTGGTCTATTGAGAACACTGAGCATAAAATAATAGGGTTAGAAGAGTCCTCGGAGCTCTTTAGTCCAACCCCCTTGCTTTACTCTCAGATTTACTGATACCTCTTATACTTGTTGTCTACATAAAGCAATAAGTGGACCAGAAAAAAGACACCTGTTGTTCTTGGGACTTGAAGTAAAGAAGAAGGTGACAGAATAATTATTTCATTTGCCTGGGAAAAAAAATAGAAAAAAAATCCAGATCAGTAAGACTAACCAAAATATCACAGCATTATCATGTTTCCTGTCATTTGGAGGCACCTGTTAATAGTTGTTTCACCAGCTGAATAAGCTAAATAAACAAATATCTATCCTTTTATCATTCAGCAATCCAGGATGCAATACTGATGGAAAGCAGAATTAGTGATTGGGAAGACATTCCCTCCCTATAGCTTGTAGAGTGGAAGGGGATGCCAACAACGATGGAGTGCAGCACTACTTCACCTTACACTAGTCAGCAAATACTATTTTTGACATGGAGCTGGAAGAAACAAATTGAGATTGGTTTCTCTGTGGGCTAGGAACATGTGGAGGATGAAGTCTCTGGTTTTTTAAAAATAGTGGCTCCTACCAAATTGAACGCCCTGGTTGTGCAGAGCAGCCTTTAGTCTAAGTAATTGCCCAGAGTTGCAATGGGTGGCTTGGGTCCCATATATGTTGATTAAAAAATAAACAAACAGATGACTTCCAGGCTTAATTGAAATAATAAAGAGCAGAGGTTCAGTCCACATGGTGTTCTAAACAACTTCCAACATATTAGTGGCAAATGCATCTTAAAATAATAATGGATTTAGCAGCCCTTATATTATCTTTTGCTTGTAACCTGTGAATTGAAAATGGTTTTCTTAATAAGGAAAAGCCAAATTAGTGCTTATATTGACCACAGTGACATTGGTGGGAAGTGAAGCTAAGCGGTAGGAGAGTGTTAAGCTGGCTAGAGCACCACAATAACACAAACACTATCTACAAGTCTTACACGATTGCAAAGAGGTGCCGTTTGTGGCCCACTATTGATTTCATAAATATGATGAAAGCAGAAATCCTCTATTGACTTCCTGCCTTTCATTGAAAAATGAAAAATAATTTGTGTAAGTGCATAGGAGGATTTCAAAATAAAAAGCAATAAACAGAATTATAATTATATCAATATCAATATTAACATTTATCTAGCAGTATTAAATTTTCCTGTTTAATATTTGATAAAATATTCTATTTTCTGTTAATGTGAAAGATGAAATTGCATCTATTTAAATGAATTTCAAGTGTATGATTTCTTTATAGCATAACATTTTGTGATATTTTATAAATTAATATAAACTAGCTAAACCCAAAGGATTTTCCATAATTCAGTTTAATGCTTTCTATTAAATGCTTTCTATTCAGATTGACAAATACTGCTAACTCCTTTGAGAAGTGATTTCTAAGTATGCTAAGATCATGAACCAATTCCTTTTGAATATCTTTATTTTAAAAATGTCAAAAAAATCAACCAATGATCTTTTCTTTAGACAAAAAGGCATTTTTTGGCATTTGAGAATGTGCTTTATTACTGACAAAAATGCATTGATATTTTTTTTAGTTCATTATTTGACTACACTGAGAGGTATGCAGTTATGTTTGAACCATTTGTTCTCTGTTTAAAGAAGTAAATCTATGTAAACTCATTGACTATTAGACAGATAAAGGAACTCTTTTGGTTATTCATGCAGTGTGGTTTGAAAAGATACATGAATGTTACAGTCCAATTAAATAATAATACAATCTATATAAATAATTCTACAAATCTGGAGGGGAAATAGAATTGTTTAGAATTACCTTCTATTAACCTTACAGAACATTGTCCCAATAAGGCAGCTGTTTCTTTCTATTGTCACAATTAAACCAGCAATTAGATATAGAATATTTAATAAAAGTAACATTAAAGGGCTATATTGTTGCTTAATTCTGAACTTTTATTAACACCACCAAACAATTCTTGGTCTGTATTTTGAAATAAGAAAAATATGTCAAAAATAGCTGAAAAATAGCTACAGTAAGAGTTATGATTCCTGCAGTTGACTTTGCTATCTCTAAAAATCCAGTTAATTGATTTCAGATCATTTTCATATTTTGCAAATTAGAAATAAAATAAAGCTTTTTGCATAAAGACTTGACACATGGTTCATTGCCACTATATTCCTTTGACTCAATTTGCAAACAAAACAGGCATTTATATAGCATGATGCAGAATTTAGGGATGCGGTGGCTCAGTGGCTAAGACACTGAGCTTGTCAATCAGAAAGGTCAGCAGTTTGGTGATTCAAATGCCCAGCACTGTGTAACAGAGTGAACTCCCCTTGTCACAGCTTCTGCCAACCTAGCAGTTTGAAAGCATGTAAAAATGCAAGTAGAAAAATAGGGACCACTTTGGTGGGAAGGTAACTGCGTTCCGTGCGTCTTTGGCATTTAGACATGCCGGTCACATGACCATGGAGAAGTCTTCGGACAGTGCTGGCTCTTTGGCTTTGTAACAGAGATGAGCATTTCCCCCCGAGCCAGAAGCGACTAGCATGTGTGAAGGAAATCTTTACCTTTATCTTACTATCCAGAATTTGCACAGGAGATAGATAAGGATTAATGACTATATTGAGACAAGTTCATGTTTGCATGTGAGTGTGCATGCACACACACACATTTATTTAAAGTATTTTTATTTTTAAACTAATGAATACATAACAATGTACAAGACATGAAATATGTACCTTAATTAATTTTAATTCTTAATGTAAAGAAATATACTGTACTTTCCTTTGAAATTAGCCAAAGCTGAAAATAAATAGCTATAGTTCTTTGTTAACTTTCTCCAGGTGTAATTGTAAATGCCAGCTTATTCACAATTTTGTCATAATCTTAGACATCTTTAGGTCAAAATTAGTACTCAAACTATTAATCAGTAAAAGAAATTAGAAATGAAGGGTCAAAACTTATACCTTGCTGTTGAAATCCTGAAATGTACCCAAGCATGTAGATTTTAAGACCATCTATTTTAATTGTATTGACTTCTGAGGAGCAATTGCTCCAACCATACCTCATGGAATT